ATGGAAAACAAACTGCTGTACTACAACCCAGATAGGCCAAAGAATTAAACAACAACAACAACAAAAAATCATTCACACTGAACAATATTGAAGGGAGAAACAAAGACACCAACACCCTAAGGTGTTGAGATTAAACTGCCAGAAAAACAAGCTCCCTTTTTGTCTGCTTCAATTAAGCCACATGTTACCATCACCAGCACAGCTTTTGATTCACAATTTCAACTGTCAATGGTTTATTCTGATCTAGGGAAATCAGCAAAATCTGCTTTTGCTATCACAGTCACAGAATGATCTCACAACACATTTAGGACAGTTCATCAAGGACAGCAGAAGTTTTCCAGCCATATAGTTCTGTATTAGTGAGTGATATTCAATGATATAATGGTTTTGATTATGATTTGTTGTTATGTCCTACTCTTGGTTGTCACCATAGCCCAGAGGGAATTTGCATGTGAACATGGTATTTCATCTCAGCATGTTAATAAACTCACTGAGAAAGAAGAATTAAAATAAATCAATGGCACAATGATCCCTGGGAAAAATTATAAATTGTGGGTTTGGTGGTTCCAGATACTGGTGAATGTCGAGAGATAGGTCTAACTGCTGTCATTGGTCTTTCATCCTTGTTTTAGGAAAGCCTAAGATGCTTCTGTGCCTGGATGCCATGGATAAACAGCAGCAAATCAACTTTGCCAAGCCAGCATTTTCCTGGCAGTAAGGGTGCTGATCAGGAGTTGTGTTTGCTGAGAATGTACTCAGGAGCTCCAAAACCTGCTCCTATGCACTTGCAGGGAAGTTAAGGACAATACTCTCCTGTTTGACTTGGTGAGAGCAACACTGGTTCATAGGGTTTTCAAGTTCTGTGACTGTTTTGGACCTCACAGTGCTCACCTGTAGTTTTTCCATCTCCCTCTTGACTCTTGCAGTGCGCACTATCTAAATGTGCACTTTGAAGCACATTTAGAAAATCTATATGATAAAGTCAGCTATTCCCATTTGGTATATTTTGTACAGTACAGACTGGAATAAACATGCAGCATGTTTCATCAGGTGCCTGTACCTGCTTCCTAGTTGCTTTTATTACCCCAAATAATAAAATTTAACCTCAAATTATTAGGATGCTGCTATTTCCAAGACTATATCCAAAGCCATCCACCAGTAAAATGGCCACAGTCAGCTCATACACTCCTGGCTTTACACTGTGGGATTTAAAGATGACATAATCACCAGCAACGTGTTCTCCAAGGTCATCTGTCCACAAGTTTTCACATTCATTTGGAATATTCATGGCCAAATCTCAATATCTTCTCCAGAATTTAGTACTTATTTGATTTTTTTCTTTTTTTTTTTCCCCAGAAAAGGCATCTATGTCTTGTGCTGGTATTTATAACTAAGGGAAGACTATTGCTATTGCAACAGGTCTATTGCTACAGGAATTCTGCAAAGCAATCAGCAAGTAGTCTGCAATTATCTCTTTCTATTCCCACCAAATCCTCAAAAGTACCTACATTTCCTACAGAGTTTCTCTTTTCATTATTTCCAATTTTAGAAATTGTCAGCAGAAATAAAAAGCATAAAATTAGTTTATATTCATGGTGAATTAACAAGGTTTCCCAGCTTTTAGGATTTCTGCAGTCAGAATTTTGCATGTCTCCTGCTTTTGGGATTTTTGTAACACATTGCATCCCACATTTGGGCACTTACCAGATTCAAAGGTGTGGCAACAATAATTTGTAAATGTTTTTATTATTTATTTGCAGTGTTAACTTAGGTAAAGAGGAACACTTAAATTTGCAGGAATTTTTCTTTGAAAGATAACATCGGAGATTTTTCAAATTTATCTACTTTTTTATGAATGCTTAAGAAGAATTTTTTGCTTTTCTGAAGAACAAGGCTGGACTGGATTAAATTCCATCCTGGTTGACAAATAACTGAAATGACTGATAATGATTTTTTCACACTTTGATGATTGTTTTTGAACTCTCACTTTAAAATGCTCAGAGACATTTTTACAAAATAAGTACTTTCCACAAACAGAGTATTTTACAGAAGTTGTATAGAATTGTCAGAAAGACATACAGTTGCAATTTTGAAGACTGTTGGCTAAATATCTGAAATGAAAATGAAATAATTTTACAAAGCAAATTATTTGATCAACAGTAGTAGTACTCAAGCTGCAACATATGTAGTGATATTCTGATAAAAGGTGGTAAATAGTCATGTTCTCTCTTATTTTTACCCAGATAATTTACCTAGTTTCAGAAGAAACTCTGCAAAAGAGAATGGCTCTCAGAATATGATTTTTTCCCATTGCACACTGCCTACTTTGCCAGTAAAACCCAGCCTGCTGCTGAAGGCTTCAGCAAAAAAAACCTGCTTTCATACTGAGAGAATTCTCAAAGGGAGGCCAGGAGATGAACCTGTGTCTGTGTCTGCATTAAAGGCAGCAGAAACAAACAGTGCACTGTGTGTGATAAGTGTAGCTGCCTGTTAAATGATATCCCATGACTGCCTATGCTAATGGGCACCTCCGGGTAAAAAAGATGGTGCTAATAAAGCCTCTGCTCTGCTTTCCTTGGAACAAACACTTCTGGCACTCAAAGCAGCTCTCTGCTTCCATCCTCATACACCTTCAGCCTGTAGCCAAGAGCAGCTCTCAGCCATTTATTAAATTAGCTCTTTAAAAGAACCCCTCAAATACAGTCTTTCCAAGCAATTTTTCCAGAGTAAGTCTGGGCCAGTGTGCCAGGGCAGGGCAGGAGGGCACAGCTGAAAGAAGACAAGGATGGCTTGAGTGACAGGAGGTGCTATGCACTGGGAGTGGAGCAGAACTGTCTTTGAGCTTTTTTCTTGTTATAGTCTACCCTAAATGCAGCAGCACAGATGCAGCAGCAAGGTTTTTTTTCCCCATGACCCCTTTTTCTTTTTTGTCTCATTACTGCTGGGTGGTGCATAATGACAGTATCTGTAGGGAGGAAAAAATCCCAAAACAGTAGCTGACATGAGCCAGAGGTCTGATATTAACCATTTCAAGGGCAGTGCTCATTTAGTGGCTCTATGTTTAGCAGCTCTTTCTTGGACAGCCATTGCTTGAATACCTGCCAGGTGAATGAATGACTTCTTTTCCCATTGATAAGAGAAACTCATCTGGGAGAGCAGCAGTCTACTCGAAACAACGAGAAGAAAGCTGTACTTGATGGTGAAAAGACACACACAATCCAGCCTGTTCCAGAGCAGCAGGCACTATTTCTTAAGTTGCACAGAACCCAATACTTAGCATGACATTGTTTCTCCTTTTACTTTTTTTTCTTAAGGAAAGAGTGATACAGTATAAATCTTTAAACAAGATCAGCAAATTACTCCTCATAGGTTATCAATGGAAACCAGAAGCTAAGTCCCATCCTCAGGCTACTTGGCAGAAGCTGGCAAACTGCAGGGCATCTGCACTAATTCTCTATGAGGAGAACCAACAGTTCCACAAAAGCAGACCACAGTTCATAAATAAGAGGCACAAAATTAAAATTAACAACCAGTATATTTTCAGCCAGACAGACACTCCCAGCAATGAGGCTATTGTTAGCCCTTAGGTTTTTTTTCACTTGCTTTGCATGCAGTTGCATACATACTTTGCTAGCACCATCCATTTAATTGGATACTTTTGTCACCTCAGACTACTGTATTCTGTTACCATGAAAATGAAGTGAAAATGTTATCCTCCTAAACATAAGATTTAAAAAAACACCAACTGAATGCAACATAATAGCATCTTTCAACACATTTGCTCCTGAATGGGAGAAGCCAGCTGCTGGGCAGGTACTAACCCCCCCTGGGTTTTGTGTCTGGCAGATTGCTTATAATGTGATACCAAACCTTCAATTCATACTTCAGCTAAGGACATATTAAAAATATGAGAAGTGTGCAACAAAAGTGATTAAACGATCACCTCTATGGCTAATAACACAGTAAATACTCTCCAAAATACTTTCCATTACAAGTTGGCCTCTCCAGTATGTTTGGACAGCATAAGAGAAACATTTCTGTAACACAGACAGATGTAACCCCAAAACTAGAACTTAACAGGGTAGTAAATCTCTATCTACAGTGAGCATTTTTTAACATACTTACCACTGTGTGCAGCACAAGCATAGCCAGGTTGTCATTCTAGTCTGTATGTGAGGACTAAAACCCACTTGTTTTCTCTGTGTTGGTCCTCTCCCTACTGCTACTGCTGACAAGAGTGCCCTTGGTTAGGGGATTTTTTTAAGTTGCTGTGGAAAGGTCCAGTAAAGCACATATACCCAAATCTGCCCTTCTAAGTATTTGCATACTATTTTGGATGGAGAAGAAAGTACACACTCCATTACAGATTTTATATGTATTTCGCCTTTATAGCTCACAGCACGTGACTGTGCTAATAGAAAAAGCAGCTGTAAAGGGAAAAAGACTGAATCTCAGAAGAGAAGTTAAAAAAGGTCACTAATCAAGTGGGAAATTTCCCAATAAAACCTAGAGGGAGTAAGACAGATATGCAGAGATTACAAGCAGGTTCAGTCTCTCAGAAGAGCTGCATTTAGCTGGCCTTCTGGAAATAGAGCGGTCTGACCAACATTGCACTTACTTTGCTGCACCCTAAATAGAAGAGGACTAAAAGCAGCATTTTTTCTCACAGAGCTGCTATAAAAGCATTTAATTTGCAGGGCCCTGCTGAAACTCACAAATGCTATTTCACAAGAACATTGAAGAATGCAGTTAACATACTTATTAATTAAAGTTGTGGCCTGTATCCTGTCCCACCCTTCTATGAGTGAATCACTGGCACATTTGAGGCAAGCTCCTTACATAAACAGGTTCATATTTGAAGTCTGCCCAGGCACTCTGATGAGTGTCCTTTGCAATGCCACATCATACGGCCCCGGTTTGTCAGCGGTGCAAAGGACAGACTGCAGAGTGCAGAGGAAAGCTTGGAACAATGTAGGTGAAAGAAGCGCTGGCATACTTACAGTTGCATTTCTTCTGAACAAACCGAAGCTTGCATGCTGTTCGGTAGGTGGACAAGCGGATGCGATCCAGATCCTGAGCCCCTAGTGGAAGAGAAGAACGGTGACATTTGGATGGAATGTGACCTGTGTGTCTCTTTGCTAGCAGGGAAGCCAGGGAACAAAGAGGACACACGAGCTGCCTCGGTTTAACAATTTTCAAGGCTCTTTCCTTTGCAGAGAGAGCGGAGAGGAGCGAGCAGTAACAAGGGGAATGTCAGGAGCTACAGTGTTAAAAGAGTTTTAGAAAGGAAGGCAAGGAATAGTCAGCCCACTGTGTCTGTCACTTTGAAGAACAATCTGGTCAAGCTGCAGGCTAAAAGACACACTGGCCAGGCTCCAACAGCAGGGAAAACCTCAGCTGAATTTTAATATTCAGCAAAAAAAAGCCCATAACAAATATCTTTAGCTGACATTCCACACCAGGGCAAGGTATTGCCAGCAAACCCAATCAGAAAACATACTGTGCTGTAACATAAAGACTTATGGCAATCTGCAGAAGGGGGCAATGACAAGGGGTGTGCAGCCTTTCTCCACTTTGAGGATGTATGTTCTCTGCAATGGAGACCTCTGAGGGTCAGCTCTGTGCTCCACACAAAGCTTGGCCCTGGCTGCTGCAATATAAAGATCCAGTAACATTTCCAAAGCAGCTGCCCAAGAGATGGGAACAAACCAAGGGGCAGCTCCCTCACAAACAAGGGCAGGACACAGGGGCCAGTATGGGGGCAGAACCTGGCACAGTGTCCAGCAAACTCATCCAAACAAGGTACAGTCAGGATGTAAGAGGAGTGGGATACAGCCCTGCTTTTACACAAGCCTCCTAAATGCTTTAAGATTTCTCAGCTGAACTGCTGAACATATGGCCACGTTAGCATCTGTAGCAGGATACTCTGTCTAAGTGGGGGTAAAACAGCTCAAATTTTCTCCCATCTGCATTAGTTATCAGGGATGGATGGAGAAGGTGGATCATGCTGCTTCAGGTGTTCAGGAATGCTGAGACCAGCCTGACTCCACAACCCCAAAGCTAAAACTTCTGGGGACCTGAAAAACAGTCTTGCCTGGCAGAAATCAGCACTGGTGAGGATGTGGCACACAAAGTTCCTGATAAAGGAAGCAACAAGTGATAGTACTGATAACTTATCTGAAGCTGCTGAGCTGGCAAGGGGAGCCTAGAAACATCTGACTGACAGTCAATCACTTTATACCATAAAAGCTCAGTTCTATTTTTTAATGGCAGGGACTTCTAACACTTTCCTTCTGGATACAAATGTGGCAATTCCTCCCTTGACCCCTCAAGGCTATTCCTTCAGACCAAGAGGAAGAGATTTGCCCACAGTGTTGATATGGGTGAGTAACACCAATCTGTACTTAATAATTATTAAGCTATTTTTGAAAAAAATTATTTAATAAATAGTGACCAATATAATTAGTTATAAATATCTATACTATCTGGTAAACAATTTTGATTAAAATATTTTAGCTTAATTTTTATCATAATGACCAATTTAAATAAAGATTTTATTCCTATGCATATATTTGGTTTGCTATCCTTAATCCTGCATAATGAAGTCATAGAAAGTATCAATTACATCTATATAATGCTTAAGAAATAAACTCTTGACCAAGTCTGGGACTAGAACTGGATCAAACTCTATTCAGACTACTCTCTGAGAAGGAGTTTCCAGAGTGAGGGGGATCCTTTCTGCATCTTGTGACTCAATTGGAGGGCTTCCTTCCCTGATAAATCTTGCCTGAAGCTTCCATTCTGCCTGTGGCAGCATCATTCACCCAAACTTTCTTAAACAAGGTCATCCTTTGGAGGCAAATTTTTCAAATGTGCTCTGGCCTATGACATGAAAATGAGAATGATACTTTCTATTCTCTCCAAATTCTGCTCTTTTCTTGACCAAATTCTCCCACACCATCTTCCCAAGGCTACCAGCTACACCCTTTTGGCAGTTACACCACCTGCTCCTAGGAGAAATTCCTATGACTACTTAACACCAAGTATGGGAAGTATTTTTGTGAGTTTTTTCCATCATATCCTCTATTGTCAAAATTATACAGGTTTTTTCCCTTCTCCATTGGTATGTCATTGACAGCTTTAGGAAAATTTCTTTGTAGGTGAAAGGGAGGATAAAACTTGCAACACTAAGCTTTTCCTTTTTAACAGGAAAAATAAATAAAATTAATGTAACTTTTTCCCTCTTAAGTGAAAGGTAACACTAAACTTCCAGTGCTCCTTTATAAAACTTCAGCCTTTTAAGAAGGTTTAAAAAGTGAAAGCAAAGTGGACTCTGGCTCATTGAGCTTCTGAGGTTGCAGTAATAATTCTAAATAAATAAATTTGTAGGCAACATTGCTGGATTTTTTTTTTCCTTTTTACTATTTGCACACATAGTGGATGGTATTATTTTGATATTATTTAGTGTGTTGCTGATAAGACTGTGGAATAGACAATTTAATTTTGTCATGATTTACATTTTGCCACAGTCAGAGATCTATTTGTCAAATGACTTCTGTAGAAAAGTACCATCACTTACGTGATGGAGAGTCCTGATAAACAATAGGAAAAACGTCCAGGACTGAGCATTGCAAATGAGAGAGCAAATTTGTAACTTCCATACAGGACTGCCAGTGGCCTCTCCTTTCTTCTGCCTGCTGGCAGTGTATCACTCTGTTTCCTTTGAATATGCTCATGTCAAGCAACACTGTTGTCAGTTTGCAAAAATAACAAAGGGACACACTGCAACCTTGGCTGTTGTTTTCTGGCTGGATAATATGTGCCAACAGTGATGTACATTTTGAACTCCTCATCAGTGTGGATATACCTGGGCATGTCAGGTCAGGCTAAGTAAGATTAAGACCTAGTGGCTTGATGTCCAACAGAGCATTTTGAGTTATAATACAAGCTAAAGCTTGTTAAAATAAGCTTGTTAAAACCACGGGACTCTACAGAAAGTGATAATGATTATGATTATGATATCAATTCACAAATGTTTGTAATTTGGAACTAGAAGGATGCCTCTTCTGAAGGAAAGGAAACAAAAAAGGCCAAACTGGACCTCTCAAAATACAGGGGAAATAAACAATGGTCGAAATTTAAAGTCAGAATCAAATCCTTCTATTCCTTTTTCAGGACAAACTTCCCACTTAAAAAGGCTTGAAAAGTTGGATTTACTTTTTTTTTTTTTTCCTCTTTTCTATCTTGTGTAGTCTGGAACATGACCCACTTTGTAAAATTATTGTGGGGTTTTAATCACAGACTTTGCAGATGTAGATCCCAAGAGCCAAAACCAGTGGCAAAAGCCTTTATATTATGAATTTTCTTCCTCTGATATTGGCAAGTTGTGGAGTTTACCTATTACCACAGGCCTATGCCTATCACAATGTTAAGAAGCTTCACATGGCCCACAATATGTAGAACATCAGGAGCACATGGTTTTTGTTGCACATGTTAAAGTGCGGGCTTGCACACAGCTGAATGTGACCCAGGATGGATTTTGGTTTCAGTGAAGCACACCCTCCACACACAGAGGTATCTGAGGGACTCTCAGAATGCAAAGTTCAGTGTTTTATGAAGATGCCTAAAACATATTTAGTTTTTCCACAAAGACTTAAAATTTTCCCCTCATTTTACCTAGCTGGAACGTCCAGTTCTCTGTGTACACAGGCAGTAGGTGAAGGAACAGAGGCAGGCAAACAGAAAAGGGAAGCATACGTGAGATAAACCAGACTGAAGTAAGTATGCCAAAATACTAAAATGTGAAAAAAGAAAATAGTAGACTATAACTACTGGTGTGTAATACAGGAAAACAGTCCCTCCTCTGCCTCCAGCTGCTGATTTTCCCAACACCTCCTTAACTCCTGCTAAACAATCCAACATCAAAACAACCTTAAAAACTGTGGAAACAAACCACTAATTTTCACAGCAAAATCCTAAATATTTTAGGAGTATTTAAAACTATTTTAAATTAATGATACCTATGTCACTGACTTGATCTGATAAATTAATGGCACCTATGTCACTGACTTGAGCTTCCTCTGTAATTATGATTAAAACTACAGTATGTTCTGCTAATGGACAAATACGTTTTTTGATTCTAGCCAAAGTACAACACCTCCCTCCAAGGTTCCAAGGTGCTGTACAAAAGAGACAACTGAATCAAAGAATATCCTGAGTTGGAAGGGACCCACAAAAATCATTGAGTCCAACTCTTGGCTCTGCACAGGATACTCCCAAAAATCACCCCATGTGCCTGACAGTATTGTCCAAATGCTTTTTGATCTCTGTCAGGCTTGCTGCTGTGACCACTTCCCTGGGGAGCCTGTTCCAGTGCCCAAACACCCTCTGGGTGAAGAATCCCTTTCTAATACCCAACCTAGACCTCCCATGACACAGCTTCATTCCATTTCCTCAGGTTCTGTCATTGGGCACCACAGAGAAAAGATCAGTGAGAAATACTCATGAGTTATGCAGGAAGCGTTGTGTGATACTAAAACAATTACAGGGCACAACAGAGCTAGTGGACACTGTGGAATGGGCCAAACCAGTTCTTGGTAGGCCATCTGAGTGGGAAGTCTTTAATTTGGAGAGCTCAGATGTAGGGCTCACACACACTGAATTCACCAGCACACACCTGGCCTTTCATTATTGCACAATAACTCCAGTCCCAGTAATGCCCTAAGTAACCAGTGTCTGCCACCAAAGATCAGGGAGATGCTCTGTCCTAGTTTACTATGAGCCAGGGCACAAACAACAGGAAGCTTACTAATTACACACAAAACTCAGGTAAATCTAGTGACAGAGTGACAGTCTCAAACTTGACAGCAGAACTTCCTGGAAAAACAGTGGATTGTAAGAGAAATTAGAGATGACTGTCAAAAGTGCAGGAACCTTGCTGGTATGGTACATCCCTGACACACTATGATGCAGGGAGCACAAGACTTCATTAGGAACTACAGAAAATTACACTGAAGTGGGGTATGAAGTACATGAGTCCCTGTACTGTGTCTGGCTGAGATGCAGTTAACTTTCTCTAGAGCAGTCTGCATGGTGCTGTGTTTCAGATCTGTGGCTAAAATGTGTCGATAACACACCGCTGTTTCAGCTGTGACTGAAGGGTGCTTGCACAGCACTCAGGTTTTTCTGTTTCCTACTCTGTCCTCTCCCAGGGCTGTCTGGGGATGGGCAAGAGGCTGGGAGGAGACACAGCAAGGACAGATGTCCCACTTGGCCAAAAGGTTAGTCCACACCATATAATGTCATGCTCAGCAATAAAACTGGGGTAGGCAAAGAAGGGGGTGGGGAGTTTTGTCTTCCAAGGCAGACACTGCTCCACGAGTGGCTGGGCATCAGTCTGCTTTTGGGAAGTGGGGAATAGCCACCTTTGCATTACTGGCTCTTGGTTTCTGTTGTAATTTTTTCCCTCTCTTTCTGTCACCTAATCAAGTCTTTATCTCAAGCAATGAGTTTGCTTGCTTTTGCTCTCCCTATATTCTCTCCCATTCTGCTGGAGGCTGGTTAGGGATTAAGCAAGTGTGTGGGAGTTTGGCAGCTGCCTGGGGTCAACCCACTACAGATACCTCCAAAAAAAGATGTAGCTTTTGGAGACCTTTATCCCTCTTCATTGCAACCTGTGCACTCCATCATCTTTGTCTTAAGAAAACTATGGATTAAAATAATTCAATAAAAAAATCTGATGTAGAAAACCTCTCTTTCCTGCTTTGGTCAAATCAGCCCATTTTCGTGCAGTTTTGGTCTCATGATATTCATTTGTGCAACAGAGATTTGAGGTGGAAAGCTTGCATAAATTTTACTGACATTGCATAGCAACCGGCTTGGTCTATCACAGCAAAACATTTCCAGGAAGTACTTACGCATTTCTGCAAACAGCTGCCTTCTTTCTGCCATGGTATTTCCTCTTTTCCCACAATCTTCAATCATTCTGGAAGACAAAATCATGTGCAAAGATTAAGCATTATTCCCAGACTGAACATATGTACATAAGCATCCAAAACTGATCCCGAAGAACCTTGGAGGTTGACTGGTGCTCCACGTGTATCCGATGCCTTTTGCCAGCCTCTCTGTGGCGTGCTTTGTGGAGAACCTGGTCCCCAAACTGTCCTCCATTCTCTGGACTCTGCTTTCAAGCATTTGTTCCCCCTCCCGCCCCTCTCTCCCAAAGGCAGTGTTCAGTTTTTCTGCTTGATGTAACTAACTGGCTTACATAACACAAGCTCTGAAATTCATTTTAGGTTTTCTTAAATAAGGAATCCTCAGTTTAAATTATGTAAGAGAGAAGAAATCATAAAAGATTCCGATATTATTTTATAGTCTCAAAAACTATGTTCTAGCCAATTCTATGTGGAGGAGACAAAAAAAACACCAAACAAACAACAGCAATTAAATCTCTACTCCATAACATAATACATGTTATTTACCCAAGCAAGCACTCTCCCAATATGAATACTCATTCAAATTCAGGGCAGTGTATCTCTGGTTAAATGAGTTTCACAAAAAGGCTCAGAAGTAAGAATATATTTTCCTTCTGTTTTCAGATGAAAAAAATCTTTCGACTATTTTGAAGAGCACTACTGCTGGATAGAGCAGAGAGAAAAGTGACAGCTTCTCTCACAGCCAGCATTCAAACCATAAAAGACCAAAGCTTTCAGAGTGAAGATAAACATCTTTAGCAGCACTCAAAAAATTAAAACTAGTGTCAGCATCACCACTTCCTATGGGTAATTACCCTGTCGAACCAATATCCTTTCCTGCCTGCCAAGTCTGGTTAGAACTTCTGACCTGCATTTTAATCTCCATCCCTATGTCAACTAGACTGTGTAAAATAACATCACACTACCCAGGTTATAAAGGAGATGTTCTATACAAGCCTGCAATCAAAAATACTGCACTGTATCCCATAGCAAACCTCCATATATATACAACAGGAAGGATGAAAGTACTGGATGCTGAAGTCTACCGTCACCAAAGAACTCAAGACAGAAAACCAGTTTCCTTTTATTTCACAAAGACAGGAAGGCAATCACATAAGAGGTGTTTTGTTGTGGGTTTTTTTTTTTTTTTTCCCCTTTCAAACTGCACAGTTCAAATGAAGTGGTGGTACATTATAACTGCCTTTTCCAAGTAGCCTATTCAATTCTCAGAGTACTGATAAAGACTCTGTTGAAGTGCTATCTATGGTGGATGTTTCGTGATGTGAGCAGCAGTCCCACTAGGAAGGGGACAAAGGGTATGGATGCAGCCTCTTTGCAGGGATATTCAAGTTCACCTCATATTCAAGTAGGCTCCCATTTGTCCAGGAGTGATAGGGATTTGTGTAGCATGGCGTGAAGTCTGAGCTAATGTATCCTCCCTTTCTGCAGAGATAACAGCTCTCAGGATAGTGCTTCACAGGAGTCGTCACTCAGCCTTTGATCTGAGGTAGCTGGTGTCTTGGAGGGAGGTGGTCAGGGAAGACTCAAACCTCCCTGCAAAATGAGATACCTCAAGATATGCCAGGCCCAACTAGCATCTTAATTAGACAGCAAGAAGTAATGTCTTTTTTACATGAATCGGCCTTAAATCTCTTCCCATAAAAAATTAAAAGCACTATAATTCCACTAACCATGGCTTGAGCTCCCCACTCCTTTCTGTTTCTAATGAAACTCACAGTAGGAGACAAATTTGCCATGGGAAATGACCAGATCTCATAGGACAGGTCAGTTAATAAAGCCCTTTGAAAAGATAATATCTTTTACTAGGCAGGGCAGTTGAGTGAATACTTCAGAGCAAACACAATTTTTGTTTAATATTTATTGCTTGTAGAGTTGGTTATAGGCCATCATAATTTTCTCTGACTTCTCCTATATTCAACATTATTCCACAATGAGCATCTTGTTTTCAGACCACATACTACCTGTGTTATTTGACTGAGATTGGGATAATTTGATTTTGGCACAAGGATGACATAATCTTCTACTTCTTGACACAACTGACACTTAAATCTTACAGATGTTTCTCCAGTTAATAATGTGCTGTTTTCATTCCACCAATGTTCTCTAACATTTGTGAAGTAATTACTGCTCTCAGAGCGATTGCTACAAATTTTATTGAAAACATAAGGGGTGCAACTTTACTCTCACTTGCCTCATATTGACACCTGGAGAAAAATATTCCTTAGCTATTGCTTTTAAATATCTTGCAGAGCATGAATGTGGCTCACCTGTGACCTTATTCACCATGTGGATGAATTTTCCCACTCAAAATTTAGTAACTAAAAGTATTTTTCAAATCATGCAAATTGTACAACATGTTTTCCTCTTCCTTCAGAAAGCCTGTTGGAAAAGTGTCCCTTTAGTGGGGGGAAAAATAATAATTCTTTAACTGTTTTTCTGTTTTCTGCAATTCATCCTCCCTTTACTTTTACTGTGTATATCTCCCCATATAAAAACATTCCCTGGACCTGATCATCATTTTTCAGAATGTCCCATTATCTTCTGAAATTGAATCACCCTTTTCACTGCTGGGGCTTATGGGGATTACCAGGGCTGACAAATAACTTTATATTTATAAACACACAGCTCAGGCTTCCTCAGAGAAGGAAGGAACTTCAGATTTATGTTTTTAGGACTCTTCTTGCACTAGATATTTTGCAGATTTTAAAACAGCCTTCACCCCAAATGACAATCCTAATTCTCTGTAAGGGTATGTGCCATTAAGCTAATGAGAACATTAGTGGTGGCAGTATTTTCAGAGAGATACATTCTATCCCTCTTTCCTGTCTTTTCCTGATAGAAAAAAGTGATAGATGATGCTCATCTACAGAGTATTGGTACTTCTGAGTCGCCATTGACAGGAATTCACTCAGCTGCATCTTCCAAGCTTTTCGCATGCATTTTAACTCTAGAATATGCTACAGCCCAGGCTCAACTAATGCCACTGTCAAGGTGCTGGGCATCTCCTTTTCAGCCTTGTTCCCTGTGACCCAGCTCACAGGTACACAGCCCAACTCTTCAGCTCAGATTACAGACTCCTGCTTTGAGCCCACGATGTGTCCACCTCAGTCCCTGGGGCTGGCCCTGAGCTAATTAACTACAGTTGTGGTCCAGTATTTCTGTTTACTCACAGCACAAGTCATGTCACAGAAAAAAAAAATGTACAATTTGTTCTTCACAGGAGAAAAGCAAATCACAAAGCAAATGTGCTTTGAAAAACAGAACACACTTCCAGAGACAAAATTATGAAAAATATTAAGTAATGTATACATTTCTTATAGTAGGGATTAGATTATATTTGTCTTTTATAGATTCCTTTCACTATCTTCTTCCCATCACTTTTCTTCCCAGGAAATACCTCCTCCACTGCAGGTAAGAACACCTATTGTGCATCTAATTAAAATTCTAGTCACAAGCTAATTAGTAAAGTACCAATTAGAGTGGGATTAAGGTTTCAATATATTAGACATTCCAAAGCAGAAATCTTTCCAAGTGCGAGGTTTCCAGCCTCTGAAAAAGATACTGTGCATTTTTTCCCACATTCCAAGCTGAAAACTTTTATGACATTAGTAGTGCTAGAAAGAAAATAATAAATAAACAAATAATATAGTTTGATTTGAACTATTTTGACTACAATTTCATATTCATGCTTATCATGTATCAGAAGCATAATTGGTCTATCTTTTAATATACTTTTCTGGTTTATAAAATGTGGGGGGAATATCATGTAATATGCATAACATGAGAACTAAATGCCTCGTTTATCTTTCCTTTCCTGTTGTGCTGCTAGGATTATGAGCACTGCAATAATCTTTCTCACAAATAAGTGTTTTTCTTGTTTCAGTATTTATAGAGTAAATAGTATTTTTTATTAAGCCCTACTGTATGTCATTCTTTTAATAAATAGTATATTTCCATTACATTCCATTTCTCGAGCTATGTCTGTGCCTGATAAAAGGAATGCATGCTACATTTAAATCATTAGCTCAAAAAAACCCCATATCCATCCTGGTTTAGGCCAGAATACAGTTAATTTTATTCCTAGTAGCTGGTGTGTTTTGAATTTAATATGGGAATAATGTTGATAATATTGACTGTTATTATACTGTTGCTTTAGTTGTTGCTAAGTAGTGCTTACCCCAAGTCAAGGACTGCTCAGCTTCCCAGGCTCTGCCTGTGAGCAGGTGCACAAATGACTGGAAGGGAGCATGGCCAGGACACCTGACCCAAAGTGGCCAAAGAGGTATTCCATACCTCAGAGCATCCTGCCCACTACATAAACTGGAGACAATTGGCCAGGAGGTGCCAACTGCTGCTTGGAGATGGGCTGGGCTTTGGTCAGTGGGTGGTGATCCACTGTATTGGGTACTACTTACTTATCTTGGGCTGTATCTCTCTGTCCCATTATTATTACCTCTCTCTGAGTCACTACTACTACTACTACTATTATTATTATTATTATTATTATTATTATTATTATTATTATTATTATTATTATTATTATTATTATTATTATTATATTTTGCTTTGTTTCAATTATTGTTTGTATCTCCATCCATGAGTTTAACTTTTTTCCCCCTGATTCTACCTACCACTGGGGGGTGGGGCTGGTAGTGGAATAAGCGAGCAGTTGCATGTGACTTACTTTACAGCTGGGGTTAAACCACCACACCATCAAAAGAAACAGTTGCTTGTATGCCTGGAGAAGGCACTCCCCTCTGGAAAGCCCCACACATGTCCCAGGAGACCCAAAAATTCCTGACCTGAACCGTGCACACGCAGTTTGATGGGTCTAAGAAGAGCCACCCCACTAGCACTGCCACTGATCCCCATCCTGTTTGTCTGTGACAGATGAAGTGCCCCAGGGAGGCAGGACACATGCCAGTGAGGAAAACTGCCCACTGAAATTGATTAATTCTGGCATGAAAAATTTACCAAGTCCCATGTGATG